AATTTTTAGATTATCTAATATTGGATCTCGTCGTTTAAGAAAAGATGAAAACCACGATAGTGCTGAACGTGAAAGAAGCGTACCAATGAATCTAACTTGTAATCTTGGAGTTGGATAGCTTTGGGATTGAAGTTCAATCACAAGTTACACTTGATTGATAAATCCTTGAAACTTGGATCTGGTGCCATCAAACTTCTCGGGTAGGGTAATTCTTGGTTCTCTAATATTGGAAAGGTGTTCCACCATAGGAGAAATGACATGATTTGGTGCAGATGTTGAAGCAGCTCCAACCATTTCTATATCTTCACTTCCTGCCAATCTTGTTGCTTCTTGTAGTGGTAAATTGAGTTGATGCATCGCAAGCATTAACTCTCTCAATTGCTCTAGCATTTGTGCCATTGCACTCTTCATTTCAACAAGTTCTGCCATGATAACACTTAGAAAAGAGAAGATGTCTAATATGACTTAAGACAAATAGAAGAGAGGACTTGAGAACAAAGAAAATACTAAGGACAATATCAATTTAGAAGAGGGTAATTTGTAACTTCTAATATGCTTATATCTTATCAAAAAAAAAGGATAACCCACTCTTAATCAAGATTAGATAAAGCTCTGATATTGTAGGTGTACTCTAGTCAATCTATCAAGGACAAGAACTCGATAAAAAAGAAATTCAGAAAAATGAGCCTTCACTAAAAGAAAGGTAACAAAATATAAATAAACAAGTATGTATATTGAAAGAGAAATTGGAATGGCTATTGCCAAAAGACAAGAAAATTAGAGACCCTTGAAACTAGACTAGAAGCAAGAAAGGAGTTGACAAGAGTGAAGATGGCTTCACTCTTGTCTCTATATATACTATCTAACTAGGGGCTACGTGGCGACGTTCTATAGGACCTCCAATATGTGTTGACTTTGTAAGACACATGCTTTGACTTACAAGGCAAGTTTTTCTACGTGTGGGCCACATAGTTAGCTTGATCTTCAAGCTAACAACATGTGTGGCACATGGCCAACTTTTTGACCACGTTTCTAATCCAAAAAGTCAATTAAAGACACCTATGAAGTCAAAGTAGCATCTACGAAGCTTCCATATTAAATATTATAGAATTAACTTACTTTTACCTACTTTTACTTACTTCCACCTATTTGTATATGTAATTACTAGCTTACATGAGTATGTCCGTGACACATTGTAAGATATTCGTATTCAATTTTTTTCCAAAAAAAAATATAGGATTATAATTCTATTTGGATTCAAAAACATACTTGAATATATTTCATACATGGCATATATAAATTCAAAGAGATGTATAGGGCATTGTAAAGATTCTTGTATTATGATGGTTAGAGTTCCTAATACACAACTTTTAACTTCATCTCTTACATCAATAGTAGATGAAGAATTTTTCTTGATTGTATATAATATTTTTTTTATTAAAATCTAAATATAAAAATAAAAGTATAATTTGACTATTATGAACCTAATCTCCGTAATTCTTAAGTATGGAGATTTGAGAAGCATTTGATCTTTTTTTATTGATGCTAAAAAACTCTTATAAGCCTTTATTTCCCATATACTTTCATTTTAGTCAACTTTAAAGACAATGACTTGTGGTTTTGTTTTACTTAATCCTTTGCAACTTATTCACCTATATTATTAGTGCTCTTTCTTTATCAATATTCCATATATCATATTACAAGTCAAAAATTGTTGCCCGTGATTCTTGCATTAGTTTGTCTTTTTTCATTCAATATTGATTAGTTTTTTGCATATAGTATTACTTATAAAACTTCATGCTCCACCACACTTTGCCAAAAAACAGAAGGTTAGAATGAATAACCTAATTAATTGAATCCTTGTTTGAATCTTTGAATCTTGTAAATAGTTCACATTCATCATATACATTGAAGGCCTCCATTTTGATTGTTGTAATATGAACTGCTACTATATAGAATAATGATCAAAATGGTGGAAAATTAATATTAAATAATAAATTTTAGATAAAACTTAAGTGTAGACACTATTGCTGTCAATTCCATCATCAAATTGATTACGGTTATATGTGACTATGGCCTCTTGTCTATAAAACCTTGCTCTGGGCCAAATCTTATTTTGAATAGTTAACAAAATCAATCCTTGCAGCTTATGATCTTGGAAATATAGAAATTCTAAATCAAAAATATATATATATATATATATATATATTAAAATAATTATATACAATATCTATTTTAATTTAGTTGTTTAAATCTTGAATATTTTGTAATATGATAGAAACCTTCATGCATGGGTAGGAGTAGATGTTTTGGAGATATTTCTTCTATTTAAGTTAATATTTGGGTTGTAACCACTCACTCCATATATAGTTGCTAGGTTTGCTTAAAGACTCTTATTGCATTGTATTGCATTGATTGACCTTGCTTTCACCTTATCTTGTGTACGAACAATATTTTTAGATGTCTACTCCATCTCAATTTTATGACATGCTATTATTTAGGCCTTCTTACCTACATCTTTTATTTTATATTCTACTATGTTGGATTGGAGAATTATAAGGAAGGAAGAGAAATGTTGTGGTAGCCAAATGTGTTTGTGTAGTATAAGAAGTTATGGTGGGAGCAATTTTTGACAATCTAAGGCAAGGATGAACATATTATCTTTAGTTATGGTATTTGAACTATTATCAAGTTTAGCAGCTAAGACAAGTGGTATCTTTGTACTTGAGATGCCACTTGATCTTATCTATTTTAATATTTTTATTAAAGTAGAAGTTTGATTCTATCTTTATCTTTTTTTTTACTTGTCTATTTATTATAAACTTTAGTAAATATTAGCATCTATGAATTCATTAATATCTATGAATTCACTAGTACTATGTGAGAATTTCTACCTTCTTTTTTATTCTTGTGAATGCCATACTACCAAATTCAGCCCACATTGACAAAGGTGGATTAGATTGATCATATCTTATCAATATTCTTATCTTGGTCCTTTACTCATTCTACTTATATGTCATTAGTTTTTATCCCTTATTCTCACATAGTACTAGTTTATTATGACCACAAGTTTTGGTTTGATATTATCACCTCAAAAAACATGCTCCACCTAATGAGCTTCTTCTAATACCATTGGGATAATTAGTATATGTGCCAATTGCACCTTAAACACATCAACATACAATGCCATCTTCTGCTTGCTAAGTTGTAGTGTCATATGTATCAAAATATTCTCTCTTCCTATGGATTGTGCATCCTCCAACATACTTTACCACCTACTCTCTAATCCTAAAATTAACAATCCTACTTAAATCAGTCCCACCACTAAGAGCTCTATGGCCCTCCATTGAATTAAGGTTGTAAATCCAAAGATGATTCTTTAACTTCTTCTTGATATGATTGAACCTAAAAGAATCCTTAGACACAATGAGGGATTTCTGCACTTGCAATTACTTTATTCACCAACACTATGAGCTGACTTAGAGTTGTCTTAGAGCCTCATCATGCCTCCATAATCCCAAACTCCCAAGTGGATTTAAAAGTGAGCTTTGAAGGAAGAAAGAAAAAAAAATACACCACAAACTTCCCAAAACATATCATTTCATATTAAACCACTACCTCTTCTACTTCAATTAAAATCTTTCAGTTTCAAAAGTTATGAAAGAATCCCTCTAGAAGTTTCTCACCTTTCAAATGAAATGACATCTCCCATTGTGAGGGAGCTCATGTCAAAAGTGTTGAGAAAGGTCGCTACCATCGCTGGTCTCAAAAGCATTAAATGGACTACTCAAAGGAGTAGACGTTGAGCAACCATGTCCAAGATTTCAATAGAATCTAAAGCATGGACCTTGGAGAGCGACAAGATGGCCCTTCAGACAGTGAGTGCACAAGCACACGGCGGCATTACAGTTGCTAGAAGTAGGGATATGGGACGGGTACAGAAAGGGGAGTAGCCTTGCAGGCAGGCAGAGCAGTAGCCTAGATACATTACTGCTACAGAACTCAAATAGACCGTTATCACATAACTTCGTCAGTTTAATCCACACTCGTGTGAGATATCGAATGGAGAATCTGGAGAATTGTAGCTGGGGTGCGATCAATTTAGCTGCGAGAATAAGATTTCATGCTGCTTTGTACACATTTCTAATCAATCTACAGCATCAGGTATACACACTTTTGTATATATATATATATATATATATATGTTTACGTGTGTGTATGTGTGTAAGTATATACCTATAAATATAAATGGCTGTTAGAATTAGTTCCATGTGCCATTCTTGCCTGTACGCGCTTGACACAATGGAATTCATGAACCGGGTGCAAGCTGGAATTAATCCAGTTCCTGAACTGTAAATGTGAATTGCATATGTGGGTCGTGAAAACCATATAAAAACCATTCAAAAACCGCAGCATCTGAGACGTTGTAGGTAAATCTTGTTAATGTTGGAGAAGCTCAATAGCCGGAATTCGAACTGGGATATCTTCCACATTAAATCGAAGACGATTCTGCCTGAATTTGAATCACAGGTTATATGACGATGGAAACTTTTAAATGGTTTGATCTCAGTAATAACCGGCAGTTGTGTCAAAACCAAGAGAAAGGGATTGAGTATTGAATGATTTGAGAAAAGCTTAATTACCAACACAGGATAACACACTTGCCCCGCATGCTTGAACTAATGATTTGTATCATTGGGTGGTCATTCATGCACATTTGGAGGCGGCGTTCCTGCCGTTCCAGACGTTCCTAATAAACTGACGCTTGAGAAACATCAATCAATATTAAATATGATCACTAGTGTTGACATGGTACTGCCGTCTCGTAAGTACCGCTCCTGGTGGTAAAGGCCACATGCCGTCGAAATGCCAAATATAAAAATTCTCTTAAAAACAATTGGACAATTTCCGTTATGGATTGTTTGTCATGTTGCTCCTGCGTGGGTGAGCATCACTGAGCACTTTGTCAGCATGGCTCAACTAATCAAGACGGGAATGGCACGTCACCACCGAACGGCCGATCCATGGGGAACTGGACAAATCCGTGGTAAGCAATGAGGACGGAATGATGAAGTTTAGATCAGATCGCCTGTCGTTCTTTCTGCTTTGTACTCATTCCAGAGCTCTTGACAAATCGGAGCGGCGTGCCTGGCCATGTTGCATTTATTTGCTTGAGTGTTGACAGATCTGAACCAGAATTTGAACGAAACAACTGCGGAGGTTGACGCACTTGGGCGATGCTCGCTGTGTCAAGTACTTGGGTGAATCCTGTCTCCCGATGAGGGTTGCATTGTGGTGTTGAGGATCTGCTCTTCTTGAAGTCGAATCTGAGGATTTCGACATACAAAGAAGCTCTTCAACCGTGCCATCGATTTGGTGGCCTCCGTCTCCGAATTGGTGCGTTCGTGAAAAGCTTGAGAAAAGCTGATAACGTCTGTGGATTGTCTTTGCTGTTCAGGTACTCTTTCACAAGCCCTCTGAAGTTGGCCTCAACTATTCTCTGCACTTGTTAAGGTCAAGTAGAACTCTCTCATTCGAACACTGGACTGAATGAATCTATCGATTTCTGAAGCTGCAGCGTTCCGTATGAGTTATAGTCTCTGTTTCCTACAACCTCTTGGCTCCCTTTCGCTGCAGCAGCGCTGCTACGGTAGGGATGATCTTAAGGACAAGGGAGTTGTGTTGAATTAGAAACATGGCATTTCGAAGAGTCTGATGATCAATGACTGGAAATTGTAGGGAATGAGACAAATTTGTATTCACTATGGCCTCAGTGGATAGTGAAATGATCTCGTCTGCCGGTTGAGAAGCATTTTAACTCAAATTCGAAATTTGTATAGTTGGACTGTCCATTTCTTGGATTTTTCTATGCCGGGATGCTAGAAGAAAATTCTTTCGATCAGCATGATTTGTACAGTTGGTTTATCCGGTTGTTATCGAATTAGCTGAAATCTGTTTTAAATGTACTGTCTAGTGCACGCATGTCATACAGCATTGTTTTTTCCGGCACACACGGAGTTCACCCAATGAATTGAGGCATACTTACTAGTTTGATTCCTACCCGAGGTGAACCGTCAACTACCGAGGTGGGCCATGCTGAAGCTGTTTCATACAGTACTTAGAAAATTGCGATTTGATTCCGCGGGAAACTTATGAAATTGTTGCTATCGGTGTATCAGCTATCAGCAGCATCACGGACTATTGCCATAATTCCAACACTCCGAGGCTGGTGAGCTTGCTGCTGCCTGTGGCTGCCTTCGATTCGCCACTCTGATGGGTTTATCATGTGGGAGGAAAAAGTCCATCGCTGTCTGCAATTCCACCAGTGATCTTTCTCAATCCACGAATAACTGCAACAACCTGCAGGTTTTCAAGTCTAAGGACCTTGAAGCAGCGACAGGAGGCTTCGCACCCGAGAATCTAATAGTGAAGGCCAGTCATGGGTTAATCTTCAAAGGCACGTTAAAGAATGGGCGCGTTGTGGCCGTGAAGAGGCCAACGCCCGGCGCTCGTCTCTGGCACGACGAAGACGCATTCGAGAACGAGATGCAAATTCTGTCAAAGCTTTGCAACCGGCGTTTTGTGAATCTTCTGGGGCACAGCCAAGATGGGAAGTTGAAATTGCTGGTGGTGGAGCACATGGTCAATGGCTCCCTACATGATCACCTACATGGCACCATCGACCGTGCAACATGCTTGAGTTGGCCCATGCGAGTGCACCTCGCGCTCCAAATAGCGAAAGCCATCAGGGCTCTTCACGCGTCGTCACCACCCATCATACACCGTAACATTAGAAGCATGAATGTATTTATAGACAGGGACTGGAACGCTCGGCTTGGGGATTTCGGCCTTGCAAGGTGTGCGCAGGAATGCGAGCCTCCACGGAGATCCAGCAATCTGTCGTCTATTCCAGAAGTTGACACCAGTGAAGGGGCAGCTCGATTTTCCGTGGGGCTTGAGAGTTTCAAAATCGACAAGGAGCACGAGAATCCTCCCTACATCAGCACCAAGACCGACGTGTTTAACTTCGGAATGCTGCTTCTAGAGATAATGAGTGGTCGAAGTGCAGTCTCTTTGGATGCGGATTTCAACCCTTTCAGTCTTTTGGATTGGGCCTTGCCACTTATCAAGCACGGGAACGCCATGGCAATCTGTGATAGACGGCTTAAACCCCCCCAAGTAGCCGCCGTGGTGAACCAGATTTCAACGATCGCCGCAAGATGTGTGCGTCCTTCAGGCCTCCGCCGTCCCTCCATGGACGACATTGTGCATGGGCTCACGAATGTCAGCAAGATGCTCCCGCTCCCTATGTGGAACGGATTGACAGGACTAGGTTCGAAGATGAAGACTGCTCGGCGCAGCAGCCAGGAGAATTTTTTTACCACTGCCTGTCACCCTGATCCCACACTCTACAAAGCTAGCAGATTCATTAGGCTACCTTTGTGGACGGGATTCTTCAGGTTGAAGAAACGAAAACGTGCGCTGGTCTTTGGCTTGGGGAGATTTTTAGCCAAAAAGCTGCGAATTGGAACCGTGAGGTACACCAGGCTACCAACTAATGACAGGAGCGGTCTCAAGGGTCCCATTGTAGCTTCCAAAGTCGCTGACGAGGGGAGGTGGAGAGGAATCGTTCACCCTATGCAGCAGATGGAGATCAAGTCCAGCACCTTGCACCCAGCAGGCTTTCGCAAATCAGCTGTAACCGCGCATCATAGCTCCGGTGTGCATTCTGCCAGGATACAAATGGGGAGTATCCATGAGCAAGTTGCAGTGCGAGGGCTATAAAATGATATCATTCAAGCAGGTTCGCATGTTCGATCAAGGTGGAGGTTTTTCGACCTATTCACAGGAAGATGATTGGCGGTGTATTGCTAGACTTTTGAATATTCCGCAACGTAAGTGTGGATATCTGTAAATATTTCAGAAAAGAATTCCTTTTCTGTCCCATTTCACTACTCCGTTGAGATCCACCAATTGTGATTCATCACCTCTTCCCACGAAGTCAGATACATCTCCAGACCTCGAAGCTTTCAACATCCCTATCCATCGACCTCGCAAAGTGCAAGCTTCTCCTCCTCGAAGCTGTTAGTGTTTCTAATCTAGTAAGCCATAGGAGAATAAGCAGGAACATCTCTCCCAGGTGCCCAGTACTTAAGATTTTGAACGTTAGTTACGTTCTCCAGACTGAAGATGAATTGAAATATATGTATACCATTATGATCAGCATCAAATTTTACGTTGATTTTCGTACTCTCTTAAGCTTTGTCTCTACCATTTCCAATGTCGTTTCACCAATCACTCATGGAATTCTGCTAATTGAATTGTTCTCAACAACTGCTAAGTAAAAACCACCAATACCCACAATATTAACTGCATTATCTTAAACTACTACATAGGATGTGAATCCGGAAGTAATCGCAACGTATGTCAATATCCAATGACTTAGTAATAATTCAACATGTTAGTAGTAGATAAGAAGTGATAAGCAACTATCTGAATTAATGATAAAACTGACTCTTAAAAAAATTTGAAAGAATTAAGTAAGAAGAGAAGTTGAGAAAAAGGTAGTATTGTTGGCAGTAGTAACATACATCAATGGCCGGGAAAATGTGACGTTACCAATCCTCATTGATGCTAGAGTACATGCGTATATCTAGAACAATTCCTTGTATACGAAATCACAAAGATATCTACGAGGATGAAAAAAAACCTTTCTTTACTATATTCGTTGGAGCTCCTTGCTGATATTAAAAACAATCAGTATTTAAGATGCAAAGAAACTGCATTGCATGCTAAACTACTTGCACAAGACGCTAGTCGAAAATATCTTGGGACTCGATGATGCTGTGCTGGCTGCAACTCACAAGATAAAGCCCAAAGTCAGAAGCATTCAAGGCACGAAATATGCCTGGTTAACCTTGAGCACTGGCCTACGAGCCATTGTTTACATCAAAAGTAGGAAAAAACGGGTGACTGGAAATCAAACGTCTGCGATTAACTTACTGATCATCTTTGGAAATACGATAGTAACGTTCGGCATGCTGACGTTGCCCAATCAGCTGTGCAAACCTTTCGTCGTGCGTGATAACAATCAACTGGAAATTCTCTTGCCCACGACGATCCTCCATAATCCTGCAAGGACCCACACAGTTACACCATGCAACAAATTCCAGCCAATTTCAGTAAGTGAATTACCCTTGGTGTTGCAGCGGTCCATGTTTAAAAACCTAATTAGTTACTCAAATAACTATACTTACAATGTAATTCCTCCAATTACTATCCTGATCACCTGGTACCTCTAAGAACAGGTCATACCTTAGAAGAGCAGTAGCTAGACTCTCTGCGTTAGGCGTGTCAAGGTTAGTGGTTGGTTCGTCGAGCGCCAGGATGCCACAGTTGAGACAGAATGTCTCTGCCAACGCCAGTCGAATTATAAGAGATGCTAGCACCTGCATCAAGACAGTCATTAAGTGTGGCAGGAAACCCCTGTCCTTGACGCCATGTTTTTTATCGGTTCCCAGTGTGAAATGGATACTTAAGTCCAGCGGCTGGCCTAACCCTTCTTTTGTAGACATCGCAACAACTCAAAGAGAGGTTACGTGGATGTTGAGCAAGTATGGAGAGACAAAAAAACATTCATAGAAACTAAGCCTTCAAGGTGAGAGAAGAAATAACTAAAATTTGCTGCACATGCTTCCAAAATAGCAATAACTCTTCATTCTATCACTTAAAACATTATCCATTTCGACAGTGGTCAGGAGATAAGACATTGTAAGCGAACACGCACTTGCGTGAAACCAAGAACTATTCCAGAATATCTGAAAAAGCTGCATGGAACATCCTTAAGAAAGACAGATTAAAAACCAGGCATTAGCAACATGACGATCAAGCATAGAAGAGGTACCTTTTGACCAGCACTGCAACGGCCCCGCATATCCAATTCAGCATCTCCACTCCTCATAACCACCTGAACATTCACTTGCACCTCTGAATAATTTAGACAGCACGATTTCCATGAAACAGGAGCTCACAATACCTCATTTTGTTACCATTATTGGTGCACCTTCAGCCATGATCAAAAATATATCAACATACATTTCACAATATAGCTTGAAGCTTGTCATTCCATAAGTCTAAAATTGAGCTCCGACAATGACGTCATATCCGCGCTCACTAAGTACTTCTTGATGAAACATGAGCAATAAATGAAACGAGAATACTGACCCTGTAGCTGTATGAGCGAGTCCCCATACCCTCTGCATCTGAACGTATTTCGATGAAGTCAATGTCTTGGCCCCGATAGGTTTGTTGCCAAAGTTCTTTCACAATCTTGTTGATTTCTTCCATCTTCATCGAGTGAAAACGCAACAATGCCCTGTCACAGATTCAGAATTAGAAGCAACGAAGCTTTACATTCACGCAAACCTAAAACGAATAGAATGCCGAAGCTAACAAATTTACAAAACCCTAACAATTTTCAGAAGGTGTGACATGCTTCTCTAGAAAAGTTGTACTATGAACAAAAAGAACCCAAAAAATTCATTATGTTTCATCAACTTTATTTCTCCTCTTCATAATCTTATGGCGAGCCGCTCACTTGTCAAGGGCATGGTAATATTTGTCCAGATCCTTGTTGGCCATCTCAGTTGTCTGCAATCGCTCACGCATATGAACTCAAAAATTAGGTTGAAATTCAAATGCACGTGTTCATATTCAAACCAATGTGACTATGCACGCAGAAAAAATGCAAACTACCATCACAACAGGACAAAATGGTGTCAATTATTATATTGCTTCACTGCTCTACTAGAGCATGTATCTGAAAACACCTTAAGTTGAATAAGCTGGGTGCTGTAGCGTTTATCGATATCTTTGTATTGAGACTGACTCAATTCAGCCTTGTTCTTGGCCACATTGCTCTCATAAACTGCGATAGTTCCCTGGCTTCTATTTAACTGCCATATCAAACTTTTATGGTCAGTAAGCTCTTGCAAAAAAATGCTATAAAGATTAGAAATCGATCAAATGCCCATTGTGAGACATCATTTTTATGAAATGAATATTTGTAGCATGCGTAGGCTTTGTAAGCCACAACATAAAAAGCACACAAAAACAAGCTGTGGGGTAGATTATATAGCATGAATGACAATCTTAAATGTGAAAATTGGATTTTTTGTAAAAGGTGTGAAAATTCTAGGGAGAAGAAAGAGTTGTGTCGTATGTTAACAATGTTATCCGTCATTTGTGTACAACCCAATCATGTACAGAATCAGTATAACAGAGCAGCAATAGTTCCCCATTAAGTGACATATTAAGTACTACACATCCTAGAATGGGAAGGTGAACCTTAGGTAATACAACAGCAAGAGAACCTCAGTACCGAGGAAAGAGCAGTTGTAACGTCTTAGAAAACTGACCTCAGAAAGTAATTTCTGCAAGTCATTCATAGCTCTTTTCAGATCGGCCTCTAGCGTCTGCAAATCACCCTTGTCTGCTAGCTGCTTTTCGAGTTCTTCAATTTTTTGTATCATCTCCTCTTCATCCCTACAATACTTCCGATACTGCAAGTTGTCATCAATTTTACGCTTCAGCTCTGTTTGGTTTCCCACCACACTAGCCAACTTTGCAACCTCATCACGCAAGCTTTTCACTACATTTTCCTTCTCAGATTTTTCTGCTTCTTGACGTCTAATCTGTTCATTAAGCCTCCCGAGTTCTTCCTCTTTTCTTGAAAGAGAAAACCTAAGCACCCAGTACCACATGTCAAATAGGAATCAAACAAGAAGTGTGTCATCGTCATGCCTAATAATATAGTCTACGCTTCAGTGAATTCTGAAAAGAGACAAAATCCATGCATACCTTTTCGTCTGATACTGTTCAGCTCTCGGTAAAATAACAACTGCCACGCATCTAATTTACCTAACGCGTACTACACCAACATGTATGTGCACCACGAAATTGATTCAAATGTCGAAAAAGAATGATTACTTACTTTTGGAGTATATCGAGTAAATTTCTGAGTTTATCAACTTCTTGGTTAAACTTGTTAATTTCTTGCAAGCACACTTCTTCCTCCATTGCCTTGGTGTTTTTGAAATCAGTATGCTCTTTCTCAGCGCGCTCTTTTTTCTGCTGCGCCGAAGAAACAGCTTGCTTGTATATCTGCAACTCATGAAGTCAGGGCTTGCATACTAAAGGAACAAAGATCAGGTTTTATTACCACATCTTAACGGCAATAATTTTTTGGTTTCGTCTTCTGATAATCCACATGCCAACAAGAGGACCATGAAGTTTTAAAACTTCAACGTTTCGGTTGCATGTAGGACTTCAACCCGCCCTAAGACTTCCTAACGCTCAATGAACATAATTTTCAAGAAAATTACAAGCTCAAGCGCGACCAGAATGACCTCTGGAAGTCAGTTGGCAGCAGCTATAATTCAAGTCAAGTCAAAATCAGATTGTATATCTCTGAAGAACGTGTATCCCACAACTCATTACTACATGCCCACCTCTACATCCAGATCAATTTGCACAATCTCGTCGGCAAGCTTTTCTTTTTCCTTCTTTTTGCGGTCGATTTCAGTGATCTTGCTCGCAGCCTTAGCCTTCTCTTCTCGGGCCATATGCAGTTTGTTCACCCAGGTCAGCAAATCGTCCTTCAAAAAGGCATGTTCTTCCCGCATCTTTTCCACTCTTCTGTAAATATCATCTCTGCACAGTTCGAGCTATAAGTCAAGTCTTTGGAACCTTTAAAAAAAAAAGGGAGCCATGAAAGGAGTGCGTAACACAAAATTACGTAGAGCGAAATGAAAACATAGTATCCATAGAAAAATTCAATGCTTGTGACTGCCAACAAATTCAGAACAAGGATACCCAAAACCTACACCATTGTCATGCAATTCAAAATTTATTTGTACCATGCTGTCGGTATCATGAATGCATATGCTATTTTTCCGTATGCTTAAAATGATTCGCTTTTTAGACGGTTGCAGAGCTTGTGATCAAATGAATTTAACGACTATCAAGTTCAGATTGTTACCGCTTCTCCTCCACGGCTCTTATTTCAGCAGCAATATCCGCTAATGTGCGGGTGTCTTGAGACCTGGTGTCCAGCTTGTATTCTTGGTCTGCAACTTGTTTCTTCATGTTCTCAACGTCTTTGTAAAGCTCTGTCATCCGATCTGCTGGGACCCGTAGCTTCTCAACCATGTCCACCTCTGCCTCAGCATGAGCAAGCAATCCTAGCATCTAGAAGCACATGACGAAAACCGCCTTATCAGATGCCATAAATATCGCATTGACTAGAGGAAATGCATGAGCATATCATCAGTTCTAAGACTCATCATTTCAATTAGTAGGATGCGGCATGATACTACCAACTAATTGGTATACTGAAACATTAGACATAGTATTACACCTAAACTGGGTGAACAGGAGGATTAGATTGACAATGTCTCGCCAGAAACTGCTTTTTAACTTGTCATAACATGACAGGACAAAAGAAAGAGAAAAGGAACGATTTAGTTTTACATCCTCATGTGCATCAGTCAGTCGGGCTTTTTCTTGTCGGAGGGCATCCAAATTTTTTTCTGCTGCTGGAATTAGTTCGTTTGACAACTTCTGATAATCATCATGGATGGCACGTAGTTTGTCCAGCTGTTGCACTTTTACTTCTGCTTCTTGTGCTTTTGCCGCACTTTCCCTTAGTTTATCTGTGTAACTTGAAGCATTTATCCTTTGCTGCAAAATCACATCGTAAAACCAGCATGTCAACTTTCAAAATCGAAGATTGATTGTTTGACAGGTAAGAAACCATGATTTTCAGCTCGAAGATGGTATAATTTGACAAATTGAAACATGCAAGTGGATGTGTTAGCCCACATCCTTACTTAAGCACTCAAAAACAATTAACAAGCTGGACTTGATGCTAAATGCTGATGCTGATACATTCCAAAGACAGTTTTACCTTTCTGACAAATTCATCCTCTTCTTCAGGAGTGAAACCGCGTTCACAACACGGGCATGCATGCGTATTTCGAGCCTGTTTTTCGAAAGGATCGAACATTTTTTTCATCCCAGTGCAAAGATCATGGGTACTGCCATGCACCACATTTAAACGGTATCACGTCACCTATAAGAGGGTTATTATATCCGTAGCATACTGCCAAGTTAAGGAAACAGGAACCAGTAAATCATAGCACGTCTTCGTTCAAGAACACTTCAAGAACATGAAGTAGACGCAGGTATACTGAGCAGTACTAGTGTCAAACTACAAAGACAACTCTACTACCGCTGAATCAAGGACACTCTTTTCTAAATAGGAACTAAAAGTTTATTACGAAAAATAAGCAAAACTACGGATAATGTGCAGGTTAAGCATCAAATTAGATCAGAGTAGAACTTCACAGAAAGATGTAGACATAGCATGTTCATTAGTCTCCTTCAAATTTCAGGATACACTTCAAAATATACTGACTTTTTGAATGACACAACAAGCCGAAAAAAGTTGGTGATTGAAATTTTGGAACAATTTGAGACCTCTTTATATTTTCTTTAGCTTTGACGGCCTCATGTAGTTGTACTTGAAAGTCCGTGATCTCCACAGTAAGATTCAAAATAGATTCAAGTCGCCCTAGTAACATCTTACGTTTCGCTGTCCAATTGCAACACACAATTAGTTAAACTAGTAGTTAAGAACCCACTGGCAAAAAAAAGAAACACAAAAACCTACAAAAGGCTTGATGTAGCTAAATGACAATACTACTGTGCTGCTTTCTAGAGATGTCTTCGATGCATTAAGGAACTGAAATTAATAAAGCTAAACTCTAAACATGTATGTATCCACCCAAAAACTAATCGTCAAAGAATCAGACTTTCAGTTCCAAGGACAAAGAGTTGAAATGAGGTCAAAATTACGTCGATTATCTTACAGTCACGGTCACGTTGATATTTGGCAAGACTTAAACTTGTTTCATGTATTCGAGAATCAACTTTGACAACCTCTTTCTCAGCAAGTGCGCACTTCTGACCTGTTTCTGCTGCATTTTCTTTTCTTACACTGACACCAAATATAGCTGTCAGACATATGCATAATAATTTCATTTGGGGAATTGTGAAAAACCGTCAAATGAACTCCGACTCAACAAATGACTGTAGACCCAAAGCTTCGAATAAATCCTGATAATTACCCCTAAGAACCACCTCCGCTGTTCCTGGTGGAAGCATTTGAAAATTGATGTCAGCTTCCTGAACAATATACATACTACAAGAAAATCTCGCATAAGTGAGGCATACCGCAATGCAGTCTCGATCTCTCGCTTCAAATCCTTTGTTTCAGGTAACCTTTTCAAAGCCTTCTTGATTGCTTCTTTGTTGTCATCTAAACTGTTAACCAAACAGCACCACATGGTAATCGTTGAGAGACCATTTACAACTGACAGTTGTCAACAACTCACTAAGGTCTAATTCCTCATTGCTATTTTTCAAAATGACTGGTCCTTGACTGATCCTGCATCATTTAAGGAGACACCTCCCGCTAAGGGATAAAGCACGAAGTGAACGAAAAGAGTACATAGTTGAAGGGAATCAAGGTGACGGTGCGTACAGTTTTTGAAGGGCAAGTTCCTTGTCTTCCAACTCCTCTTTCCTCAGCCTTAGAGCCGCTAGATCGGCAGATTCGCAAGCTACTGCATCCTTTTCACGTCTCAATATTTTAAGCTTGGTGTCTAATTCATGGATCTCACGTTTACCATCATCTATCACTTCTTCATATCGGACGTCATCTTCTCTTGAAGTCAGAATCTTAACCTCCGCATCCTGCGCATCGGCAGCATAATTAGGTCATGAAAAGAACCACACGGATCCATAAAAATAATTGCAGAACCAGTTCTTATATCCATAATAAGAAAATTTCCCAACATTGATCTAACAGAACTTTTAACAGTACTCAGATTAAGACACGTTGGCTCCAGCTCTCAGCACAACTGGACTCATTTCTGCATGATTGAATGTCTACTCCCTAGGAAGGAGTGACAAAATAGTCTGATGTACTAAAATCAAAGACTTGAACTTACTGCTTTTTTCTCTGCTGCATCAAGTCGACGCAATTCGTTATCTGAAATAGCGTAAGATCCAGACGCAATATCTTCGTCAAGATTTGCTATGGCCGCCTCTGTAGCAGCCTTAACCATATTGCAAATTCCCCCAATATCAGCAGATTTCACTCCTCTGGAATGCGTCCAATCAGTCACTTTAAAGAAGCTCATTCAAGAGATGCAACAGTGATAGAGAATACAGCACAACCTTATGTGAAGATCTTTTTAACTGAATTTTTTGAAACACAGATACCCACTTCAGCAGAGAAGAATTACCGTACCTTCTTGTCTTGTTTTGCAGTCACTTTGTTTTTAGCACCAAGATACTCTTCACTTGACTGTTGAACAGCCCTCCACAACTTGGCAGTCTCTGCTCTATTTGTCTCCTGCAGACATTAACATGTCAATATGCGGCATCATCAACTAAACTTAGTGTTATTGACCAACAATCGCACACAGGATATAACAAACAACAGATTATGAGCTACTCGAACAGATTGCACCCTAATCTGATATTTATGTAATCTCAGATGTAAACTATTCGAAAATGATATGTGTTTTTAGATTTTTCACTTCAAACGGTTCCACGTAAAATAGTAGTCCTCATTCACAATAGTATAGAATAGTAAAGCATGTCTCTATGCAACAAGTACCTTCTCAGTAAAGCTATCCCAATGAAAAACAGCGTGTGCTACATCCCTGACAGGATCAAAACATTTAAGAGAAATGCGAAAAAAAATTATGTACGCTCAACAACACACCAGCCACTAGGGGGCCCAACCGTAGAGCAGATACTCTTAGATAAGTAACCCTTGTTCTGAGATGCACTGCTTTGCACTTACCCTGTCATTGTTTCACGAAACATAGTAATTGAACACTGCCAATTCTGAGACTTCTGCATCTGCTCACTGAGTTCTTGGGACAAGCATGCACTAGATTATCATTCAAGGACTACTTATTGATCTCAGATGCATAATATGATGATATTCGAGAAATTATCAAGAATGAAACCAAATAAGCCATACCTTTAACTGGCTATAATCCCTGTTCAGGTCCTCAAATCGCTGAAAAACACGCTGTACTAGGCGTCGGTATTCCTCATAATTCAAAGAACGAGTTCCTACGTTTCCCAAGTTGTGTTCCGCAAACACTTTGCGGATCTCAGCCTCCAATTCCATATTCACCTTTTCATTCCCCTGCCAGGAACACAGTCCCGAATATCAGTTTAACACAAGATTGACTAGAGTTACACCAGAAAAGCAGCACAACGAAATTGTTTCGTGAACCGAGAGAATAATAGAATTATGCTCAACAATCATGCACTAATATGTAATCCTTGGCGGCATAAAAGCATAAATGTGCAACATAATAATGCCTTCATAGTAATACATACCTCTACTTCTGCTTGCAGCTTGCCCTGCAAACTATAATTTCTAGTGTGCTGATCAGAAATTTTCCTTAAGTCCACTTCAGCATCTTTAAGATTCCTTTCGGAACCCATTAGATTCTGTCTCAGCTTAGCAAGGTTTTCATTGAAATCCTTTTGCCAGGTTAGGAGATCCTCATCCGTATCTGTTGAAGCAAAATCTTACTTCAGCAAAAGTAACATCTGAGTTTCAAGAAATCGAACGAAGAACGTACCCTACAACCTCATCGCCCGTAAATTCATGCAAACTACAAGTTTTCACAGCTCTGGAACCCAAATAATTATGATAAAAATTAGGAAAATCAAAGACGTTGCAAGAGAAAGACCATATGGAACAAGAGTCTGCGAGCCTGAAGACAAAGACAGAATATCTTCACTGCATAGTGACTACAATATCAGGTCAACATATCTCGCCCTTAAATGATGTACATGAGCAATTTCCGCTACATCCTTAGAAAAGGACTACAGGCAGGCCTCACAGTGACAACAATGACTGTAGCCAAAAAATCAGTGTTTAGAACCTGACCTTCGATCTCTTCATGAAGAGCTTGTTGCTGTTCATCCTTTTGCTTTTTCAACATCTTTCGTACGGACTCCTTAACATTTATTTCCTCCTTGAGTTTACTATAGTCCTTCAAACCCTCTTCCATAACATTTATCTTCCTTCGAGAATCAGTAATTGTCTTTTCCAGCTCCCGGATTTGGTGACGCAAGAAGTTGGCCTTACCTTGATCTTGCTCAACGTTCTCATGAAACTGCACACCTCGATCCGAAACAAGAAAAAATTCTATCATTTTTCAGCAAAAGATGAAAGAAACAAAGGATAATCTATGAGTTTTAAAGTTTTATCTCGAGTCCTGATTCACCTACAAGACCCATGACACATGACTTGTGATGAGAAGCTGATTCAATCCACAAAAGCCAGACAACTAATCATAAGTTAACATACCTACGCATCTGGGAGCAATAATACTAAAAGCACAGGAATACCTGCAAGGGATTTGGCCCATTGACTGAACCTAACATTTCCCTCTGATCGGCTAAGACAGCACTTACTTTATGAGCTGCATCCTTGAGATTTCTCAGGTTGTCCAACTTCAGTTTATACACCTTAATTCCTTGCGCTTGTTCCTTGTGCAACTTCTTTAGAACCTCCAATGCCTTAGTGTACCTAACAAGTTTCAGTGTAACAGTGAGTTGCAACTAAACATCAAAAGTATTAAAAGCCGACACAATATAACAAACTGCGAACCATATAGTATAATTTGGTACCTGTTCAAAGCTTTTTCACCTCTTATACAGTGTTTGCGGATTACCTTTAGCGAACAATAGCGTAACTGACCAAGAGAATTTTTAAGGGGCTAGAACTACCTGGTGGCAGAAAAAATATCGTCAAACTTCTTCTTTAAAATAGCAGGCTCAGCCAAAGGCCAATTTGCTTCATCTTGGTGAACAAATATGACATTTTCCAAAATCGCTTTCGACACTCCCATAAGAGCAGGAATCTCCCTATCAATATCCGCGCACTTATAGCTAAGCGCAACTTTCTGCACATCCAAATACATCAACGCCTTTCAGAGCCGACAAGCTAGAAAAACAGATCAAACAAGCAGGTCTAACTCAGACCTAAAACTATCCAAGGGAATTGTTTGATGATAAGAGAAAAGTAGTCGTTAATCAATCAAAAAATAACGCACCTCACCGTTGTGATCAAGGGTCTGAATGACACTCTCAATAGCCTTGTACTCCATCTTTGACGCCTTCTGTGTGAGTTGGAAAGACCGAATACAGACGACATCCTTACCTGCAGCAGTTTTGAACCTGAGCTTTATTTGCCCCTTGGTCTCAGTCTCACCAGCTACCTGAGCATCAAATTATGCTTGTAAGTTTGGCATCCTAGCAAAAATTGTTCGCAATCAATAAAACTGAATAAAAAATCTTAGTCTGTGATAAGGCAGAGAAGCAAGGAGGAGACACAAAACTACAACACTTAAATTTCACTAAAGCCACAAGACACGTTGCCCCATCCGGAAAAATAGATGTATGTTCCTTGTTACGATCTGTCTGCGATTGCACTCACGTCCCGCAACATTTGTCCGACACAGTCCCCAAAACAGATACGTCGTACCTTTGGATCGTGAATAAAAGTTTGACCCGACCTTGAATTTGGGGGCAACTCCCCTGTACAAGCATGCTTCAAACACTCAATAATTGTCTGGGATCATCAACGCCATTCACAATGAAGTCTCATCAGTTATTTGTCGATACATATATGCAATGTATACATGACAAGATAATTCGATAGGAACATGAACATTCTAGCTACAGACAGTGCATGCATGATAACTAACTTCGGCAAACTATTTGAGGATGCCGACATGCAGGACTTCGCTCCAGAAAACTCGTCTAATCAGTCAATACTGTCTTGGACGTACATAGGTCGGTGTTCGGCATTTCTTTACCATATCAAAAAAAAATTATCAAGAAATCACTAACCTTGTACTAAAATTTGCATGAAATTAGTCCAAAATCCATTTTTCCATGATGCATGAAAGATCCCGCAATTATCCTCTCAAGTTCAGAAAATCTTCGTACCGTCTTGCCGGCACCATTTGACCCCACGATGAGCGTGAGAGGTCTGAAGAATGTGATTACGCGCGTGTTTTCCGGGTCGAAGGCCCGGATGCCCTTAATGAGCATCTTGTCTACGGTACTCATGGTGACAAATTGCAAAAACGCCGATCAATCCCGTGAACCTTTCCTCGCAGTTTAAATTATTTGAATTCTCCTACTACGCCTGTGGCTTTCAATCGACGATCACAGCTTAACCCATCCTCGAAGAGCGAGCATCCAATAGCAAACCACGATGCCAGTACGCTTAACTTTAAACCCTGAACCCTGGCAGTGCAAAAATGCAATAAATCAACACTTTCCAATTCAACAAGAAGAATTCATGAGTGACGAGTACTGCTATCCCGGGATTTCAACAATTTTGTGCAGTGATCTACTCAACGATGTTCGGAGACGAGACCTAAGAGTGCAAATGTCGACGTCCTTGAAGCCCCATTCCGAATGCCTAGTTCCGAATTGATCCACGAATCATAGAGGGTCGTGGGGCATCTCCAACGTTACCCGTTACATGGCCCTGCATACCAAACTTGTAAGAGGTTTAATATCCCCCAGTAAGCGGGCGTCCATTTTTAGAGAGGATTGTCGGAAGTTTCGTTTGTTTGTTTTTGTTTTTATTTTTATTTTCTTGACACCTATGGGGTAGACCTGTTGAATTGATTTAATTTTTTTCAGACTTAACAACCCACGGGATGGGGGGTACGTTTGACTATCAATAGTTTCATGTGCATGCAAATTTTGTTTCAATATCTTTTGAAATGACACATAAAGTGCAATATGGTAACCCTCTACAATATTCTATTGTTGCAAGGCTTAACTGCAGAGTCCTACAATAGAGGATGCCTCTCCTCTGCAATTATCAAGGGAACTATGCAAACTCCCCCCTGTTGTGCTTTTATTTTAGAAAGTACAAGTGGAAATGTACTTGGCAACTATTGATTGTGTTTTATATTGCAACACTGCTAATGAGTTGTGTGTTGATATTCCTTGTACAACAGGGTCTGATTTTCGGTGTAGTTGCAATTTGTGGCTATTCATGCATGCACTCTATGTGTTCACAATGCAAAATGTTTTGCCTTCCTCATGTCCTTGTGACCTTGTTATTCCTATCCTCAGTTAATATTTTAAATGTTTTACAGGGATACAGTCAATCCAATGATTGTAAACTTTGGGTGTGTTCAAATAAATTAGTGCAGTAAGTTTGATGATGCAAAATATGCACCATAAACAATGATTGTTGTTGGCTCCAAGTATAAATGGCCTCTACATGCTTTATAAATAATAAAAAATACAACATTAAACTTATATATATATATATATATATATAAGTTTAATACATAAGTTTAATATATAAGTTTAATTATATATATATATATATATATATATTGACTAACCTATGTTTGGCTAGAGTGTCAAAAAATCTCATTGGCTAGAGCAATAGAGTGATAATATCCAATAATGGTTTTAACCTAGTTATTGCCAAGTTATCCAATCATTGGAACAGAATAGGCCACGTGGGGCCGAGATGGGAAGGCTAGGCTAGTAGCAGCACGGCGTAAATGAATCCAACCTGCACTTGGCTGTGACACCATTTTTTGTTTTGCTTTTTTATAATTTTTAATCACAATAAGGGGCACAAATTGGTATATTTTTTAAATATTTTGCTTGGGTGCCAAAAACATACTCAATACTGGCACAGCCAATGGTTTAATCACTAATATGTATGTATGTATGTATGTATGTATGTATATATATATATATATATATATATATTTGCAATCACAAGTTTTAGCAAATATTGGTGTAAATGCTAGTATATCTCATATAATCATCAACCATATTATAATAGAAGATTTAAACTCTAATATTATTTTTATGACTCTGTCAGCTTTCAAGTTGGACTCTATGGTACTTGATAATATTGCATGCATTAAAATTAGTAAATGTATTAAGATCAACAATAAAAACCACCCACTATTAATCACAAGAAAAGTGAAGTATAACTTTGATATTTTAAAATTAAAATTTTGTAGTCTACAAGGATTATGCATACAAGTTTGTGCACTACAAGATTACAAGCTTGTATTTTTATTGGTATACATATATTGTGTTCTACAAAATTTAGCAATGCAAGATTTTTATAATAAAATTTAATGCAGTACTATAAATTTGAAAAATCAAAGTAGAATTATTATTTCAAACAAACTTATATTTTAATAGTATTTTAAAATGTAATACTATTAAAACGAATGAAGAAAAATAACCAAGGAAATCATATATATATATATACATACATACATACATGACAATAGTTGTTTCCATAATTTCTTATAGGTTTTTTAGTATGATTTTTTTTCTTGTAACATTAAACTCCAATATACATGTTTTTATACAATATTTTTGTATAAATAAATCCAAAATTTCAACACTTAAAATGATATACAATGCATACTGTAAATATATCAAAAGCTTGATAATTAGCTTATAAAATTAACTTATCAAAATTGCACACATGAACAATGAATGCATTGCACTGTTTATTATCAGAAAACAATGTAAGAGTTTGGCAAATATTCATATTTTTATTTGTTCAAACACCAACACAGACAATGGATTAATTTTATTGTGAGGTCAATTCAAAAAAAGATAATAATAATAATAATAATAAAGGTTAATTTACCATTAATTAAGCTGTATATGTATATGTATATTGATATTCATACAACTTTATGCTCATTGTTTTGACTTGTAGAATATTTTACTTTACTTTTATTTATTTTTTTCCTTTTTTATTTTTTATTTTTAAAATTTTACCATCAAATTAATTAGAAGCTAACTAAATAGAATATATATTTTTCAAATATACAGTTTCAAACTGAAAGGGAAAATAATGAAAGAAAAGAAAACCAAATTAAATTGCAACAAAAGTAATGAATAAGCCATAATTTTTTCTTATAAGTTTACATCTTCATACTTATGTGTTTTATTCTAAAAAATAATAATGATTTTATAATATTTTTTAAAATCTTAGTTTCTAAAATACCACTGCCATGTAAAAAACCAAATGGATTAGTTATATTCAAGTTATACCACAATTTAGAAATACATAGCAATCAATCAAAAAACACATCCTTCTAATGTTGCAACAAATGCCAAAGATATGAGACCACACATTCTCTCAAAGTAAAAATTAGGCAATGTATTTCATGAAATAATACTATATTTCACCACCATATTCCTCCTTGTATATTTTTTCTTGTTTTTTCCTTTCATATGATTGCCACCACCATACACTACAATCACCATTGGGACACTACTTCCTTCATAGTATTCTTTGGAAGAACCAAGCAAGCTCTTCATCCACTAACTGCAAAGCTCTTTGCTCAACCACATCCTGCGTGCCCTTTTGTTCACATTGCTAAGTTCTCCCTTTCTCCCATGTCTATGCTCCTAGGTTCTTCTAAGCTTCTTTACCTCCACTTTTTTCTTCATTCGCCTTGGCACTATTATTTATTTTCAATAGATTTTATAATAGTTAGAATTGAATCTAGAGATTTGATGGCTAAGATGCCTCAAGCCAATCAATTAAAGTTGGAGGTATTCACAACATGTAGTAATAAAGGCTTGATATTGTCTTATTCCTTTCACTCTTTTTTTAAGATATCAAATAAGATGGATTGGATTTAAATTACAAATAACAAAATTTAGATTTTTTTTTACTTTATTAATTAAGAGTTATTAAAATAAATAAATTCTTATATCAAGGTATTAATTAATATTAGAGGTTGGCATCTAACTTATATATGAATGAAGTAGCAACTACATGGCATTAAATTTTCTTCAGTATTGGTGGTAAAAAATAGATGTAAAAAATAGATAAAAAAATAAAAAATAAAAATAGACATTAGTTGTAATTAATTTTTAGCATCAAAGAAGAATGGTGGTGAAAAATAGACGAAAAATGAGCAGAAAATGGTCACCATTGGGACAACTTAGTAGTAAGAGCTACTTTGTACATAAACATTAATAATTTGATATGAGAATTTTAGAAGAGGATTTTATATTAAAAAGATAAAACTCTTTTGGTACTTTGTGATTTGAAATAGATAGTAGAAAGGAAAAATTATGAAAATTTTGGAACTTACAACACCAAAGTCATTAAGATTTGTATTAAGAATAAATTTAAAAAATCTAAATTTGAAGGAGGAATTTATTTACAAGATCAAAAATTTTAATAATACATCCAATATTACACAATTCCTTATTTCTAAAAAAAAGAATTTATGAATAATCAAAAGATCGAACATGTATTGGTATTAATGCTAATTTATTAATACCAAACAAAAAAAATTATGTTTAAAAGGTTACAATCTTTGTATACCATCAAAAATAGTTTTTTTTTAAGAATAATTTTAATTTAATCAATAATAGTAGTAAGCTTACACAATGATCTTCTAAAAGACATATAGAATGTATTTGTTTTGTAAAAAATCATAGATCTTCAAGATAAAAGACAAGATATCAAAGTTTATGTCAATACAACTATAATGGCTATGATCTTATATTAAAAGAAGATTTTTATTTTTTATATGCTTATCAAGATGTGTCATAGACATATATACTTATCTAAATAAGAAATATTAGATAGAATATAAATATAGGTATATTAAATATTAACTTATGGCAAAGCTTCTTTGAAGCTTTATAGATGCAAATTTGATTTTAGATGTGTTTATAATTGATTAATTAGTTAAAAGCTTGGCCAGTAAGTTAGCCACATATCACACATGTCAATAACTTGTGGTACAAGTTTATTATCTGGCGTACATATAAGAAACTTGTCTTATTAGTTAGACATATACCTTACAAATTGGACTTGTTTTGAAGATTCTATAGAACATCACCATGTAGCTCCAAGTAAGATAGTATATATTGAAGCAAGATTGAAGTCTTCTTCATTCTTCTCAATGCCTTTTTAGTCCTTAGTCTTGTTTCAATACTTTTTGGTCTTCTTATCTTTGGCAATAGTCATTCCAGTTTCAATACTATATTAATTTTGAGTAAATATCTACTCTTTTTAAATAATAGAGGATTATATTGAATTTTTAATTTTTTAAAATTCATGTTGTTGATAATTTGAAAAGATTACTAATTTATTATTCTTATTTTGTTTTAGAAGTAAGTACATTACCTCAATTCTATTGTTGTATTTTGAAGGTTGTAGATTATGTACTTTCAAACTAATGTTTAATTTTCTAACATTAATTTTTTTTCTTAAAGAGAGAAAATTATCTCTCTTTTTCAAATTTTTTATTTAATAATATAAGTTTTAAATTATCTTATTCTAATATAAATTTTAATTTTTTTTATTTTTTTATACAAAGAAAAATTATAAATGCTACTTTTTATTACAGACATTCAACAAGAAGAT